AGAGTAAGAAAGTTGATAACAGCGGCGTAAGCTCGATAAGGGTTTGTTTTGATTCATCTACTACACAATGTTGATTTGAAGCCACGGCTAGGTGGATTGGAAGGACTTCGCTGAGAGACGTTTGTGGATGGGCTGGTGGATGAAGCGGTCAGATACCACACGGGACACTTTCATCCGAAACGTTGAGCATTTCCGATAGATGACTGCTTACCCGATTAAGAGCCGGAGCTGGGAACAGAAGGGATCAAACCATATACAAGTCCACACATAAGGCGATGCAAACGTTATTTTACGGCAAATGCCTCCTGTGTGAACAGTAGGCTGCAACCACACCACCAGCTTGCCGTCAGCAACCATTAACATGATCACGGTATCAGCCAATTTTGGTTGCAATGCGATCGCGAAGGAAACATACCTTATTAAAGCCCAAAGGAACCTCCAGTCTCTCCCACTTGGTTGACCGGTGGAGATAGGTCAGATTAACAGTTTCCGAAATCCCTTGCTTGGGGCTAGAAAAGTTGTGCACAGAGATATCGGACATGCAGCACTCAATCAGAGATTTCCGGTATTCACCTCAGAGCAGTTGGCTTCGCTCAGACGTGATCCTACTATGATGTGTTTGGAACCAAGTATGTTCCCCACATGGAGACCCGTTTTGAACTGCACTTCGGAAACCGGAGTATATAGCTACATATTCCAATTAGTCCCACTTTTAACTTGTACCTGATAGCCGTCAGGCTTCATGGTACGAGTTAAAAATTCATTCTCGCCAGGAACAACTGATTGTCAGCGCTCAATTGAAGGAGTCCCTCTCTCCTGTCTGTGTGGTGGGGATTGACCACGAATGGATCGCCCACACGTGTTCCCAAAGAACCGGCCATTCCATCACCCGAAGTCGACAGTGTCATAGCTTTTCCCTGACGAACCTATTCGTGTAAACAATGAGTGTCCTGGGTGAAGAGGTCCTCATGGAATTACAAAAGCAAACGTCCGCTTGTTTATGGCCAGGGATCTGGATAGGGCAACAACGTGCCTACATTGTACCCAGAAGATTGAGAACAATTAAATACGGACCCTATGGAATCGCCATGGAGCAGTGATTCTCTGAAGGTAGGAGTTCACAACAACCATCTTTGGATGAAAAACAGAGAGGAAGCTCGAAAGTCGAAGCCCAATAAGCAAGACCCTGAACCACCAACCATAGAAAGCAACCAGAGCCTCAGAGTCGGCGAGCCTACATTGAGGGGGTGGGCAAGCAAACAGCGCGCGGGAACAAGATTCGCACATGCCCGATACATTAAAACAATAGCCTTGTTTGAGGGCTTCGGGGCTTTGGATAGACTGGTAAATACTTGGTACGGTTAAGTCCAGCCGTTATCAGCAGCTCTAACATATAGCACGTCGTAGGTGGAGGAATGTTCGCCAATCGAAATTAAATGTAGAGTTTCAAAACGTGTCATGAATCCTACTGGTCCCGCCGACACTCTCGGACCACTCTTCAAACAGTTGAGCAAGCGAATGGAGCTGTGCATTTGCTTCGCTAAATATCAACAACCTGACTCTTTAAGCGATTTCATAGCCCATGTGCCTTCGGGCCGGTCTCGAGATCACATCCTCATTGGACTTTCCCTATTCTTCTCTCACGGATTCACAGATTGATATTCTTCTCTCACGGATTCATAGATTGATACACAGGATCGCGTCTTTTGCCCAAGTTTCCCGGATGGGTTTTTTCTTGTTGTTCTTGTCGTTTGTGTCTTGTATTTTTTATATGGATTTGTGTTGATGCCATGTGACAAAACGGGCCGCAATCATGTGAAAACCAATTATTATCCCAATTATCAGCAGTGACGTTCTCCCTGTCCTTGTAGCGGCAAACTTCACCTGTCCACTGTGCTCGCCGTCTTATCTTCAGATCCTGGAACAAAACTCGAGTGATATTTTTCATGTTTCTATTTTCTCAATGTTGAAGGCGCTATTGTTTAATCCTTACGATCTTGCCACACCCCATCAGGTTACCGTGACCTGCTCGATGTATTGAAACATGCTTAGATCTGTGTATCACTGAGTAAAAATGGACCTTGACCGCGGTACGCTTGTAGTTGATTTCGTTTTTCCCTCGTATAAAGTTGTTAAAGGATTCCTTCTCTGTTCGCTCTATTTACATAGTTCATGCTTGTCATTTTTTCACTTTAGCACAGATTTTGCGCGATGACCTCCATTAGTTTGCACAGTCTCAATTGTGACCAAAGTCAATTCAGGCCGCTCTAGATAGACCGCGATCACTAGGCCACAAATGATGTGAGCGAAACTGGTGTCCGTCGAATGTAGGACGTGGTATACAATGCCACGTCTGCAGGGCCTGGTGGCACCTTAAATGCAGGGTTTTACAGGATGACCAAATAAGCCCACCGGCTATCTCTTCTGACCTGTTTGTCGGAACAATCTGCCTCCACCTTAAAGGTTAATGCATTTCTCAACTGAAAAGAGAGGCGCCGAAAAGGAAAAAGTCGTTAGTGCCAAATTGGAAGGACCGGTGTGAATGTTCTGCTTTAATCGGGACACTCGGCGCCAAATTGGCACTCTTTTTCAAAGTTCTGGAGGACGTAAACACAAAGAAGTCAGGGACTTGGACGAAATTTGATAATGAACTATCTTCGTAAACGAGTGCCTCGTGCTATCCATCCCGGGTCCGCCGGTTGCAGCTCTCTGATGCCGCAGTGAAGACCATCACAGAGTCGTTAGTGGACGGGCGCATGAGTTAGTGCAGGATAACCATCTGGGTGACGCAAACGAAGCAGGCACATTCGCTCCTTGGTAGTGTCCTCACAAACACCGACCACGACTTGCTTCGCGCAGATTGCCTGCGCCAGCGGTGCTTAACAGTGTCTTTCAGCAGAGCGCTTTAACTCGACGTGTCGCACCCACTAGACAACCCACAGGCTATGACCACGACTTGCTTCGCGCAGATTGATTGCACCAGCGGCGCTTAACAGAGTCTTTCAGCAGAGCGCTTTAACTCGACATGTCGCACCCACTAGACAACCCACAGGCTAGCAGAAATCTCTTCCAACTTTGGCCATCACTTTGTCGAACAAGCCATAGTTTACGCTCCACTGGGGCACAGTGACCACTGTGTGCTAACCCTTAATTTTCTGTCCTACTAGGCCAGAAACCGCGAACTTCGGCCGTGGATTTGAAACTTCTGCCGTGCAGATTTCTCAGGAATGCGCATCTTTCCTCAGCATTTTAAACTGGGAGAAGCTTTGGTGGAAGCTTTATATGGGACCATTGTCCAGAAAGTTCACGAGCCTTAGGCGATGTTTTC